GCACAGCCCCTTCACACATGTATGCGAGTGCATGCACCCCAGCATGAGCCCTCACCCCCTCCATCGCTCATGCCCCCGAGTGCCCTTCCCACATGAATGCAAGCAACCCGCGCAAGTGTGCCCACACCTCTTCACGCATGTGCGTGAGCATGGTGCCCCGCCTTCCCCAACTGCTTTAGATTTCTCACCACCCACTTAAACCCAGCCCAGTCACTTTGGGTCAGTGAGCTGACACTTCGGCAAAGAATGCCCACCGCTGCTGCAATGTCTGGTCTTGTCATCGTGCCAAGATACAGCATCTTTCCTACGGCTTCTCTGTAGCCATGCTTGTTGGGCAAGAGTTCACTTGGTTCTCTCTGTTTATGAAAGTCAGGATCCATGGGAGTGGATACAGGATTGGCATCCTGCAGTCCAAGGCTTTCCACCAAGTCAAGAATCAGACTGGCAGAATCACCCACTTGCATACAAGAACACAATTGATCTGCATAATCCAACAGAATCCACATAAGGAGCCCTAATACAATGAATTCTGGATTGGGCAGAACAAGGTGGAATGCAGGCCATGCTAAAACCTGGCCTGGACCCAGAAATGGAGGGACATCAGATATTTGGCTGTTGACCCTTGGAAAGAGGCTATAACTGAAATGGGGGTCAACTGGCAAATCAGTGGCTGAAATGCTGTTTATTAATAAGTCACACTATAGAGGGCTCATTGAATCAACAGAGATTTGGTGCGGCAACTCCTCTATAGGTTCCAGAGACTAAAATGGGCCTACTAAGATGTTACAACTTAAGTCAACCCATTTGAATCAATGGAGCTTATGGAGGAGTTGACTCACCCAGTTCCAAGGGATTCATGGGTCTACTCCTAATGCAACTTACTATGGGAAGCAAAAAAGGTTTCAACTACAGCCTGCATCAATGCTCTTTTTTTTCCTGCAATCTCATACATGGACAACATGGGGAAGCTGAGAAACCTATAATGTTCATTTGTTTCATATGTTTACCCATAGGTTTATGGGTAAACATATGAAACCAAAAATACAATTTGAAAACCCCAACAGCTTTTTCCCCTTCAGCCACTGACTTCCTTTATGCCTGAGATTGCTTTGTTCTGAACTACAAATCCCAGAACGCCTTGCAGATCCTAGAGAAAAATTCTCTGCAGCTGGCTCAGTTGTAGCTGGGAGTGATAAAAGAAAGGGGGAAAGCCAGAAATTGTGATTAGCAACGAGGTTCTAGAAAGAAAGAGACTTGCTACACAATATGACAAAATTCCAGTGTTTGCTTCTGCCCTATTTCCCCTCGTAGAACTTATCTCACTGCCTCAGCACTTTTTCAATTCTGTTCCCCAAACTGGATGCTGGTCTGTGTGATTTCCTCGGCTCTTGAGCTCATCTGGGTGAGTTAAAGGAATATTGGAAGTTTCTTAGAGAGAAGATGCATTAAGCCAGTGGTCCTCAACCGTGGGCCTCCAGATGTTCTTGGACCTCAACTCCCAGAAATCCTGGCCAGAAGAGGTGGTGGTATAGGCTTCTGGGAGTTGTAGTCCAAGAACATCTGGAAACCCAAGCTTGGGAACCACTGGCTTAAGCAATGGGGAATAAAGGCAGAAAAGGAGAGACTGTCTCGCTTCAAACTGGCCAGAATCCTGTGGAATCCTGGCCAGATGATTGATAAACATTCTGTCTCTAATTTCTAAACTCCTTAGCAAAAGTAGGAGCAAAGAATTATCTTCTGAGGGATTCATCCCTCGGATTTTTTGGACTCCAGCTCTCAGCATTCCCCAGTTCCGGACCAGAGACCCACCCTTTCGGACATGTATAATTTCCTCATTTCTTTGAGGGCCACTCAGGTTGTGTTCCTAGCTCTTTGTTTCCTGTCGCACAAGAGGACAAAATTCTCTGCAGCTGGCTCAGTTGTAGCTGGGAGTGATAAAAGAAAGGGGGAAAGCCAGAAATTGTGATTAGCAACGAGGTTCTAGAAAGAAAGAGACTTGCTACACAAGCTTGGGGACCACTGGCTTAAGCAATGGGGGAGAAAGGGAGAGACTGTCTCACTTCAAACTGGCCAGAATCCTGTGGAATCCTAACCAGATGATTGATGAACATTCTGTTTCTAATTTCTAAACTCCTTAGCAAAAGCAGGAGCAAAGAATTATCTTCTGAGAGATTCGTCCTTTGGATTTTTTGGACTCCAGCTCTCAGCATCCCCCAGTTCCGGACCAGAGACCCACCCTTTCGAACATGTATAATTTCCTCATCTCTCTGAGGGCCACTCAGGTTGTGTTCCTAGCTCTTTGTTTCATGTCGCAATGCATCCTGGGTGTTGTAGTCTCGTAGCTCTTTTGATTCTAGAGAGAGTGCCTCTCAAAAACTACAAGGCCTGGATGGAGGTGCGCCATTCCGGGGGTGCAAAATATGTGTGTGTGTGGGGGGTTATTTCAAAAAGAGGAAGGCAACCCCCCCCCCAGGGTTTTGGACGGAGGCGGGACTTCTCCATGGAATCCGGATTGCCAATCAACCCCCTTCCGACCCCCATCTGCATTACAGCAATGCCTTGCAAGGCAGACTTTTACTTGCTTCTCTGATTAGGGGATGTTCAAGCGGGGGGAGAGATTTGATGTCTCTGGGTCCCGATCCAACCCCTGGAGGCAGGAAAGCTCCACCCCCTCCCCCGACGTGGCTCCTAAACGGAAGGCACACATGATCTTGACCCCCCCCCCCACAAACACACAGAGACAATCAGAAACACAACCCTTCCATTGAATCCTGGAGGCACCGGTGGGGGTATTAAAAAAAAAAAGGAATGAGAGAAAGTAACTTGGCTTCCCTCCCTGCACACGCAACCTTTCTCCACAACTTCGGAGAACTTATTTGGAGGCTGCCGGCTATTTTTACGTTCTCTTAATGCTTTGATTATTTTGAAGGTCTGTGGTTTGATCCAGCGCCGCCCATCCTGTGCTCTCTGTGTGTCGCTTTGTAGTGTTAGGATGATTGTGTGTGTGGGGGAGGGTACTGCAGAATGGAAATATCCTGATCAATCAATCATTAAATCTTCCCTGGCACACCTTGACGGACAGAGAGGACACCGAAATGGGTGAGAGGTGGCCTGTTCTTCTCCAGACTCACAAAGGAGGGCATGGGTGCGAAATCCCCATATCTTTAGGTTTACAGTACATGGGTTCCGTTTGTCACCTAATTTAAGGGATGGCAAGATGTTAATTTCTTCCCTGTTTACCTTTGAAGCTTCCCTGTAGTGTTGCTTCTGACCAGGAAAAATCTCTTTGCATAATGAAGGGAGGCAGAAAAGGGCTGAAGGAGATGATGGCCTTCTCTTCAGGGAACAGTCTTCACCAAAGGCTGGAATAAATCTCTCCAGGGAGAGGATCTTCTTGCACCCCATATGGAGCCTCTGGCCTCAGAATCATCTTTTCCTTTTGCATCTCTTACATCTCCCTCCCCAACATTTTCTTCTGGGAGTTCCCTGTCCTGCAGGTCTTTTTGTAAAGTGAATGACTCTGAATTGTCCCTTCCAGACTAAATCATCCTCAACTACTGGACTTCACGCTCCCCATGGAAGCGAGACCCCCACGGTCTGCATCTCTCCCAGCTCCTGTGAGGGTGGAGGGTTAGCTCAGAGGGTAGAGAGACGCCTCAGTAGGGCATGCGTGGCAAGCGTGCAGTCAAGGCTCTCCCTGCTGGCGAGAAAAGTCCCACGGAGAGGAGCCGTGCCCACCCTTGCTCTGTGACACCACTACACTGTGACACCACTGCACTGGGCCTCCCTCTTGGCCCACTGGGCTTGGAGGTAGAGGAAGGCCTGCCGGGATGGGCCGTGTGTTGGCATCTTTCACCGTCCAGTACAATGAGATGGCTTTCTTTCATGGCCCCGTGGCAAGAGAGAGAGAGGGAGTCCAAGAAAACCTACCATGGCAGTAGGGAGAGAGAGAGCCACGCGAGGTTTGTGGAGGGTGATTTGGGGGTCAAACGTTTTTTTAGGAGTGGCCGAATTACCGCCTCTTTCGCACCTGGATCCAGGTGCGAACCCACCTGGCAGATCTTCCAATTATCCAAAGTGGGCAAGGTTCAAAGGACAAATGTCAGCTGTGGTGGACTACCACAGACTCAAACTACCAAGGGTTTTCTCATACTCTCAGGTACTTGTTTGAGTGTCATACCTATGGCCTTGCTTGCTCTCTTGTTCAATAGTTCATTTTGGTAATCGTGATACCACTCCTTAAATATCTCCTATACTTGAAAACCCTTTTAGGGTTGCTGTAACTTACACCAACTTTGTTCTCCTGTAAATAGGCTCAAGATTATTCACATTCATCCACTCAGGATCCCTATTTGCAGAATCCAGGCTGATAATCTGAAGAGGCCTCATTCCAGTCTGAACATTTATTTCTGTTCCAAGCTAAATTTCATACAATAATGAAGTTAGAATCATGTTAAAACCATCCCAGTAAAATAAAAACAATCAAAGATTAAAACAATGAAGACATCACAGAACACAAGGAAGGAAGTTGCATAAATCATGTCTTCTTTCTGTAACGGTGTTTCCACCCTCAAAAGCTCATTCACAGCATCATGCTTGTTAATCATTCACTTATTGCTGTAAAATGCCATTTGGAATGTGAGTTTTGTGACGTCGACAGAGAAAGCGAATTCAATGAAGGTGAGGGGATTATGCCCTTTGAAGCCACCATAAGGTTTCTTTCTGAGGTACATTCATAGGTTCACAACAGCTTCATTCAACACCAGAGCTCTCCCTGTATGTTTTCTTCCGTATGTTTTCTTCCGTATGTTTTCTTCCCTGACTAGACACATGGATGGAGATCAAGAAGTTCATTTCCTGCACGTTTCAAAGTTTCCCCTCTCTGTGCATCTGTTGATGTTTGATGTTTTGAGCATGACAACAGAAGGTCTCCCACATGCTTTGCACGGAGAGGGATTCTTCCCCAGAGTCAACTACAGTATTTGTGTTCTACAAGATCTTTACTTCAAGAGAAGTTTTTTTTCCATATTAACAGCATGGATTTTTTGATGCGTTTTAAGGGCTGAACGAGTTTTGAAGCTTCTCCCACATTCTTCACAATGATAGGGTTTCTCCCCTGAATGTGAGCGTTGATGAACTTTAAGAAATGAGGAACAACTGAAACATTTCTCACATTCTTGGCATGCATAGGGTTTTTCTCCTGAGTGAATTCGTTGGTGTAATTTAAAATTTGCGGGATCGCTAAAACATTTCCCACATTCTTCACAATGATAGGGTTTTTCTCCTGAATGAATTCGTTGATGAATTATAAGGTTTCCTCTTTTTTTGAAACTCCTCTCACATTCTTCACATTTATAGGGTTTTGCTCCTGTATGAATTCGCTGATGTTCTACAAGGCTTGACTTCTGCCTGAACTTTTTCCCACATTCATTGCACTGATAGGGTTTCTCTCCCGTATGAATTCTCTGGTGTACTTGAAGAACACTGCTCCGGCAGAAATGTTTCCCACATTCTTTGCAAGAATATGGCTTCTCACCTGTATGAATTCGCTGATGTACTACAAGGCTTGACTTCTGGCTGAACTTTTTCCCACATTCATTGCACTGATAGGGTTTCTCTCCCGTATGAATTCGCTGGTGTATTTGAAGAACACTGCTCCGGCAGAAACGTTTCCCACATTCTTTACAAGAATATGGCTTCTTCTCAGAATGACAGTAATGATGTACTTTAAAATTTGAGGAATTACTGAAACATTTTCCACATTCTTTGCATATATAGGGCTTTTCTCCTGAGTGAATTTGTTGATGTATTACAAGATTTGCAATTTGGCTGAAACTCCTCCCACATTTTTTACAGTCATAGTGTTTCTCTCCTGTATGAATTCGCTGATGTACTTGAAGATGTGAATTGCGTCTGAAGGCCTGGCCACAGTCATGGGATTTGTATGGTTTCTGTCCTGTGTGTATACTTTGATGGCTTTCAAGTTCTGAACTTCCCTTGGAGGTCATGCCACACTCTATGCACTTACAGACTCTCTTTTCAGAATGCTTTGGTTGAGGTGCTTTAATGTCAGAGCTAAACCATTTGGTTTTCTCCCCTGTGTGAAATCTTGAATCTTCTGGGCTCCATCTGAAACTTTCTCCATCCTCCAAACAGTGACAAAGATTTATCTTGGCGTGACATGTTGGACATTTCACTGGACATTTCCTCAGAGCGATGTTTTGTTCATACTCTGAGCTTTGAAGAGCACTGATGCTTCTGTTTGTTGTTTTCCCCATTTTGTCTTCAGAGGCAACGCCACTCCGATATCTGTGAGATCTGTCTCTCCTCTTGTCTGCCTGATTCTGC